ACCTAATAGCTCACCTTAATTAATTACGCTCGTTACAGTTGGTATGGCAACACCCATTTTTTCACATTCTCTGTGTATATATATTTTCCTACTGTATCTTCCACTGCATGCATCCGATGAAGTGGGTCTTACCCACAAAAGCTTATGCTCCCAATACTTCTGTTAGTCTTAAAGGTGCCACAGGACCCTCTGTTGCTTTTTACAGATTCAGACTAACACGGCTACCCCTTTGATACTTTACTTTGTGTAATCCACTCCAAGTCTTTATTCAAGCCTAATTTAATGATGTCTAGTTTGCAAATTAATTCCAATTCTGCAATTTCTTGTTGAAGTCTGTTTTTGAAGTTTTTTTGTTGGAGTATTGCGACTTTGAGATCTGTAATTGAGTGACCAGCGAGGTTGAAGTGTTCTCCGACTGGTTTTTGAATGTTATAATTCTTGACATCTGATTTGTGTCCATCTATTCTTCCACTGCATGCATAGGATGAAGTGGATTTTAGCCCACGAAAGCTTATGCTCAAATAAATTTATTAGTCTCTAAGGTGCCACAACTACTCCTCATTCTTGTTACAAGTCCTTTAGATTTCCTCATGTGTCCCTGATATAGCTCCTCCACCTTCCTTCATATCTCTTCTTAGACTGATTTTCATAATACAGAGTAAAATTCTTCCTTCTGTTACACTGATGCAACCCAAATGGATTCATTGGGATATCACCAGTATGTCAAAGAGGAGAACAATCAAACACCACTAATAGGAAAGGATTATCCCAGTTTATGCTGTGTATGTGTTGTTTCAGTTGAAGGGCTGCCTTTTCACTACAATGAGAACACCACAGGCGTGAGTGTTGTGCAGCGTTTGGATCGGGAAGAAAGAGAGAGGTATGAGCTGATCGCCAAGTGTACAGTGAGAGAGGGCTCCAAGGAGATGCAGGTCGAGGTGCCTTTCCTGGTCAATGTGTTAGATGAAGATGACTCTGCCCCCTTCCTTCCCAATGGAACTAGCACGACGGATGCTGTTGTGGAGTTCAACAGAAAAGAGGTAGAGTTCTCTTCTGCTTGGACTCTGAGATGTTCAGTGGAAACACTGTGGGTTAGGCATGCCTACATGGAAACGTCAGGCCTTGTATGTTAGCTCCCAGCATCATATGCACTAATTTACTATACAGTCCAGAGAACTCTGACTGAATAATAAGAATAATAATATGAAGAATGTGATGACCACCTCCCTTGAGTGGCTAATTATCTGAGTGGTCATTTGACAGATTTCACTGGGTGTGTGTATCCATCTATATATTACATACAAAAAGCTATGTTAAAATATAATTTAGGTGGGAAAGTCAATCACTGAGAAGTTAAGAAATGCAAGATTTATATCTGTATATGCTACCATGATTCTTCCCATGATTCTTCTTTGTGCAAGTACACTGACTGAGGCCTGGGTTCTGTGGAAAACAATAGCATGTGTCATTAAAGATTGTACCATAATGCATGCACACAAGGAGGCACCAAGTCAAAGGCCTGCTACAAACAAAGGAGAGGTGAGAGCTTCTCAAATAAAAGGTTTCAGGAATCTTTTCTTATGGAAGGTCTTAGATCATCTAAATATGGGGGTTGCTACCAGCTCCTCATATAATGTATATTTGTGAATATCAATTGATATATTTTTTTTTTAATTCATAATAGGATTTAAACAGGCACCTATCTGCTGCCTTGTGCATCTTTGGTGTTACTTAAAGAAACAAATACAAAAAGAACAAAACCAGCAGCAACTTCCTGGAAAACTCCACCTCAAACGCTAACCAACTTTCCCCACCAACACTCCCATCCTACATAAACAGTTGTCCCTATTAGACCTCACCCTTACTCAGATATCTAGGCAAAATGATGGTTCTTGCAGTGTTCACTGAAGGTCAACAATGCCAGAGTATTTAGGGCCAAGGGTAGGAACTTGTTCTGTAGTTGAAGGTTGCTCATTGACAACCCTTTAATCACTGTAGCATGTAGGAGGGGTGGCATGGAGAGGGTGCAGGTGATAGAGTCCAGCTTGAAAGTAGGCACAGCCCATTTCTCGTATGGCTTCATAGGTGAAAACCAAGATACGTATGTATAAAACTAGTAGAATAGTGTTCAGCTGGGGCTTTCTCTGGGAGAAGAAACACTCACAAAAGCTTTAATAGATGGTTGTTATGTTGAGCCATTCCGATGTGCATTCAGCATAAGCTATGTATAAAATTCCAGCAAGTACTCAGTCACTTCCCTCCAGGGATTTCTGTCTAATAATATTTCTTTAATAGCTATATTTGTTTCCCTTGGAAGTAAACTTGATTTTGCATATCTGTTCTGGAAAGAGAGCATACAATTTTGGATGTTTGCTGCCACCTACAGGCTTGACATATCAGTGCCACACACCGATGGGCATAACTAGTAGAGCTGCTTGAAAAATGGACTTCCCATGGAAAATTCTGAGACTCTCAAATTTTGTTTCTTCTCAAATCAGGATGAAAAGTAGAAATCTCAGTATTTTTCATGCAATGAAATAATCAGAAAATGTTTGTTTTGACTTTAATATGACGTATAATATAGTTGAAACAAACCTTGACAAAATTGATGTATTCTCATGAAACATTTTGATTTAATTAATTCAGCATTTTCCAGCAGAAAAATCTTGTGTTGGAAAACTTCCAAAATACCCCTGATAATTAGTATATTCAAACTTAAAGGAGAAAGGATTTGTATGGGAATCTCAATGGCCAATGGAATAATAACTGTACAAAATGAGTTTGAGGCCTACTGCAAGATAATCAGAAATCCAATGTAGAGTCAATAAAGAGCAATCTTGAGCACAAGACTGGAGCCTAGAACATCTGATTTCTGATCATGCTTCTGTTACTAACTCTCTGTGGAGCCTTAGTTATGTCATGCAGCCTCTATTTCTTCTTCCCTGACTTTTAAATGGGGATTTGTTGCTCACCTGCAACAAGAACAGGGCCGGCTCCAGGCACCAGCCTGGCAAGCAGGTGTGTGGGGCGGCCGCTCGGGAGAGGGATGGCATGTCCAGCTATTCGGCGGCAATTCGGTGGACGGTCCCTCACTCCCGCTAGGAGCGAAGGACCTCCCGCCGAATTGCCGCTGCAGATCGCGATTGCGGCTTTTTTTTTTTGGGCTGCTTGGGGCGGCCAAAACCCTGGAGCCAGTCCTGAACAAGAATATTGAGGATTATTTTTTATTTTGATGATTGAAAGCAAGGTATGATCCTGTTACTTCTGCCTTCAAACATCCAGTATTACATTTGAGTACAGCCACTTAATTAGTTTCTCCCAGGGGCTAAGGGAGAAAAATCTCTATGCTATCCCAGCCATTCTTTGTAAATTGGGGATTAACAATTTTAAAAAATCCCACAACACATAACAGAGAGTAAACTGGTCCCAGGGAGTGGAGACTGTGCACTATACGGACCACAGTCTCTTGTGTGTTCCAGACCTTCTTGCCATTCACACAGGTGAGAATTCAAGTCACCCTAAACTCTATGAGGTTGGGGCTGGTGCAGAGCGAACCAGAGAATGAGGATCAATAGCTGGTTCCCTGAGGACCCCCTCTGCTCCTCTTCACCTTGCTGACCTGAGCAGATATTGGCAGTCCCATATTTTTTACTTGGTTTGTCATTCTCACGTTTATTCAGTGATATACCCTAGTTGCAAAATTCCCCCAAAGATCATCCTAGCTACAAAGTCTCTGTGGTCATTAAGACCACTAGTTGGGGATTGCTTGAATCAGATATGCAGTCCTTACATAGGTCTCAAAACTGACTGTTGCTACAGTAATTTTGCAACTCACTGACTTATGAAATGCTGTTACAGTGCTCATCTATCTCCAAATAGGTGGTAAGCAGTAGTACCATCAATCTTTGCCCTTTCTGTTAAAGACCTACAAAGACTTTGAATGGAAGTTGATTTGTACAGAATGTCAGAGAGCTTTATATGGACAGGACTTTGGTCTCCAGATTGTATCACTTATTCAGACAGTAAACCAGAAAACAAATTGGGGGGAAAAATAGCGTGGCAATCATTGATTTTTCTCCATATTGTCTATGATTTTCTTCTAGGGAACTGTCCTAGCCACACTGACTGTGTGTGATGCAGACACCACACCTATTTTCCCCATTGAAAGCAGCAGAAAGAAGTACACAGGCACCATCAGTACAACTGATCCATGGATTAGCGAAACATTTCGGGTGGATCACATCTTCCATGAGATCTATTTCAGCCCCAATGGCAGCCAAGTGAGGGGAACACTGCATGAATACAGTAAGGTCTCTTCCGTCTAACAAAGAGTGAAATTGCTTTGCTTATAATTGACCAATATTGTATTTGACTTTTCTATGTATCTGAAAAATACCAGGCAGATGGAAAATGAGACAGAAAATCCCAGTGACAGAACAGATATGTGGGATTGAAAGAGGGGACTGTGATACTACATTCTTTCCTATATAACACAGTGACTGTAGAGGAATATGACAGTTGCATTATGTGTTGACTAGCCAAGAGAGTTCTAATTGTATTGCATTTAAGAAAGTAATTCTAAGCTCATGACTACAGCTGGATGGCAAACAGTTTTCCTCTACCACACAAATTTTTGAGATTTTTAAGATTTTCCAGTTTCATATTGGGGAGAAACTGAGACATTTTGAAAAAAATTCGTGAAAAAACAGAGAGAGGCCCATCCACTCACTCCAAAATAGCGAATAGCCAGATGGGGAGGGCACTCACTTGGGTCCCCCAGTATACATCTACCCAGCCAAAAAAAAAGGCAAAACCCACAACAGAGTGGGTCAGCTGACTCAAGCTCACATTGCTGGGCTGAAAATAGCAGTGTAGATGTTCGGGCAATCCAGCAAGGTTGGAGGGTCTCAGAGCCCAGGCTCCAGCCTCAGCCTGGAAGTCTACACTGTTATTTTTAGCTCTTCAGCTCAAGCCCGTTGACCTGGGCTCTGAGAGTCATTGCTGCTGGTCTCTTTTTTTTTTTGCTGCATAGACATATTGCCACATTCAACGTGACAGCCCTAACCATCAGGCAGCGGTGGCTCCAGGCAGGTACGCCGAATCCATGGGACTGGGGACCTCCCGCAGGCATGCCGCCAAAGGCAGCCTGCCTGCCATGCTTCGGGTGGCAAAAAAGCTAGAGCCGCCCCTGCCACTAGGCTATTCTGCGATGCGCGTCTCTCATATTGACCAGAAGATACGTGAAACGTTCCTGTGAAAAAAATTGATTTTGATGAATCCACATTTTCCTACGAAGCACCATTTAGTCAAAACATTCAGCTCTAGTTGTGACATATCTTTAGGCACTTTTTGTTGTGTGGAATGGGAGAATATCTATATTTTTAGTTTTAATTCAACCTCTCCCTTTACCTAGTATCATGCCATGAGCCCGTGCTTGAAGAATAGATTTGATATTTATAGTTTAGGATTTTGTGCTGCCTAAAAATGCATCGACATATGTGAAAAGCCAATCTTCTCTTTTGCAGAACTGATGCTGAATAAAAATATTTCAGTCACAGAGAACCGTTCCTTCCAGTTGGATGTTTTGGTGAATGACACAGAGTTTCATGGCCCTGAAAGATCTGTGATGCTCCATTTCAATGTCTCTATTCTTCCCGTCAGCATTCAGTTCCCTAATGTGACTTACCAGTTCACGGTGAACAGAAACGCTGAACGTTTTGCACATGTAAGGACTGTCTTAATTGCTTTTGATTTTGGCATTGTTGAAGATAAACTTTGTAAAAGTGAGACGGCTTGGAGGGAAATGTGTACATAAAATAAATAACCTCCAGGATTTCAGAAAGGTCCACAAATACCAGATGACATTGCAAATCTGTTCCGACCCTGAGGCAATGTTACCTAGAAGTTAGAACCCTGGACTGGGATTCAGGAAACCTAGGTTGTCATATTGATTCTGCTACTGGCCTGCAAGTCACTTCACTTTCTTTGCCTCATTTCCCCCCATGTGTAAAGTGGAGATAAGGAGATCTTACTGGTGTGTATATTACAGAGCCTCATTTTGCTAGGTGCTGTACAAACACATAGTAAGGGATAGTCCCTGCCCCGAAGAGTTTATGAACTAAATAACAAAACATTGTGACCCTCTGGATCACTGTCACAATTGTATGTGATTACTGCTTTGCCAACATCCAGTCTGCATGGCTTTAGAAACTAGCACCAGGTAATTTGGAAGCAGAGTATTCTGATATGATCATCAAATCTGAGTCTTTGAAATGAAACATGGTACTTCTGAAAGTGAGCAGTGTCTTAAAAAATACTTCCGAGCTTGGCTTCATCCTCACGGCATCTGTTCCTCCCAAAGTTTGCAGCAGATAGTGTCAGCATTCCCACTTCTTTCCACAGAAGCAAAAAGGTGGATTCTACCCATCAGGTGGACATTGCCACCCCTCCTAGGTGGGCTTCTCCTGGTCTGCCTAGCTCTGATAGGACAGAAATTCCAGCTGACCGGCCAAACGCTTGTCCTTGGCAAATGGCCCTAGCACTTGGGGTCAGGGAGGCTTGAGAAGTCAGAGATGTGAGGATGTGTTTTTCGATATACACGTAGCTCCAACCAAAGCCTTGTCAGACATTAAATAGAAGTGAGCTATTGTAATGCGTAAAATAAATATGATCTTGTCACAGTTACTAGGTGAACTGCACCTCTGATGTCTCCTAGTCTTGTGGAGGTCACCCACTTCCAGCCTCTAGCCATCACTTGGCTCAGGGTGAAATCCCCTGATTCTCCGATACACTGGGCTGCAGTCCCCTGGTACTAATCACGATTACCTAGCAGGGCTGACTTAGGCTCATACCCTGCAGTTGTCTTCCCTCCAGGGCAATGACAATAGTAACCAGTGACCAAACAGCTCCTTAAAGCAAAGAACTATTTATTTAGAACAAAAGCATTTAAGAGCAAACAGATCTTAAATCAACTAAACACACCACTCCAGCTTATCAGGTGTTTAACCAGTTAAACAGCTTCCACATGGGCATTCTAGGAGCACTGTTCTGTATAGACTCTCTTCCACAGAGCCACTCTCTTTCTCAGCCTGTCAGAGCTCACTAATGCTCGCTGGACAGCTCTAGCAACTCACTCCCCTTTTAAACTGTTTATAGCCCTTTGAGCTGGCAACTCCTAGCAGAGGCAAAGCAAGATTTACAACAGGAGAGAAGGTGTTTGAAGCTAGCAAACAGACCCTTTGTATTTCTTGATTATGCCTACGTTTTTAATTGGGAAGCCACCATTCCCAGAGTCCCCTATTAAGCTAGATCAGTGCATTCATGCAGGAAAGTCACATACAGTGTTCATAAAATTGTTACATGTCAGTATTCGTGACATTATTATAGATTATGACGTAGCAACTCCGCTTCTGTTAAAGGCCCTATATTAACATAAATAGAGCAAACAAATAGTTCCTCAGGTTGTTCACTGGACAAAGCCTTTTGGACCCTAATTAAAGTGAATTGTAGGAAAGAATGACAATGGAGAAGGATAAAAAAAAATCAAGTGGAGAAGATACTCACTCCTACTGCCTACTGCAATATGTTAATGGATTTTCCCTAGATAATGGCTAGTCAGTAATTAATGTGCTTCCTAATTTAACCCTCATTTCGGTTTAATCATCATCATCGCCATTAATAATGCCTTCTAGTAACATTTCCAACAGATTGACATTAATCAGTGGTAAATTACAGTGAAATTCCTGTGGAACATGCATGTTAATACTAAACTAGCTCATTATAATGAATGTTGTGGAAAGATGAAATGTTTCCATAGTCTAAAACCTTGTAACAAATAGAGACATAAGAAGTCCTGTGTAGTTGTAACACAGAGCAGTGTTGATACTAACCTGTTCTCCCCCTCCCCCATTGTGAAGTAAACTTAATAATCAGATGCCTTACTTACCTTTAAGCCTCTGGTTAGTCAAGGAAAAGAATAAAAGAGGAAAGCGAGATATATTATGGTCTAGATAATGCTAAGTCCTGCCATGAGTGCAGGGGACTGGACTAGATGACCTCTCAAGGTCCCTTCCAGTGCTATGATTCTAAGATTATCTGGCTTTACATTTAATTTTGATACAAATTTTATGCTCATGGAATGTGCTGCTGGATTGGCAGCTTTTGAGACTGCAGAACAGGCGCCCGACAGATAATAGTAATGATGACTTCCCAGTCAATGGGCATCAGGCAGAGTCTGCAGTTACCATCCCTAACAAGTAGAGGTTTACTTCAGTCATTGGGCTCTTTACAAAGAGTTCCAACCAGGGTCCAGACTGTGGTGGTTGTCTTTATTTGTGGCGATTGTTCCTTTTTGTTTGGTGCTTGAGATTTTCCTGTCTAGTCTTTCAGACTCTGATCTGTGAGAAACTTGCATGCAAATGCTGTTGCCCTTTTGGTGCTTTTTGTAAAGAAGCACAATCCTTTTAGTGTTACGTTGGCTTTTGTAGTGCCAGATTGTGAACCTCTTACTCTCAGTGGTGTGCATTTACTCTCACTAGCAGCTCCGTTGAAAGCAATGGGGCTATTCGGGGGAGTAACTGCTTAGTCATCTGAATGAGGTGTTCTCAATCTGGCCCTTAATAGCTAGAGATGAACCTGAGCCACATGTATCTGAATATTGATCCAAGCGACTCCTAAATCCAGCAACATTATTTTCTGTGGCTCTAGCTTGGGCTTATCTCCATTAAAAATCACTGTTCCCAAGCATAACAAATCAGAACAGAAAGGCAATGTGTGGAAGCCGCAGACTTTTCATTGTGTTGGGACCACTGAACATTCTGCATTTTAAATGGAATTCCCCCTTCTAATCTCAGCAGCTTCGTTTCCTGACATGTAAGTGTCTCGTTTCACTGGATGGCAGTAGTAAGAGGGAAATGTTTTGAGATAAAGAGCTTTGTGTCTGTGGAAGCTGTGTCTGTCTGTGCTTGCTGAATTCTAATTCCCAAAGAGATTCTGTTTTGAGGTTTAATGGGGGTGGGTGGGGAGGAAGGGGGATCAAAGCCAGAATGGGAATGACTTTCTCAGTCAGTGAGGTATTATCCTCTCACTTCTGAGAGGTGGATTTGAAGGTTCAGTGTGGTCTGAAATCAGCCCAACTTGATGCTAGCAGCTTAGTTCCTAGAGAATGGCACTCTATGCCATTGAAACATTATGCATAATTAACTATAATTAGCCTGAGCAGTGAGGAAAAGTACAGAGCCAAATGAATATGGAGGCTGAAACAGCTTTCACTCTAAGGAAAACATGAGTGTATTAGTTAACCTTCCAGCCATTTGTCCATTTTAGCATCTAAATGAATGGAGAAAAGGAGCGTGGCCTGACAGAACCTGTGCACGGCATTTAGCTCTTCAGAGGACTTAGAGCTCAGACCAATGATGAAAAATATAGGCTGAGATTTTCAAAGGCAGTTGAGTACCCACTGCCACTGAAATTCAATGGAAGGGGGCACCATAATTCATTACCAAAACCTGCCTAAGATTATCTGTCTTGTACCCCTCTAAATTAATTTCTCCCTTCCCATCATTTCTGAAAACCAAGATATTTGTGTCTTAATTGATGGCCTCTCTTTTAATACCATCCGGCTCCTTGCCTGAATCCTGCCCTGATACTGGGTCACGTTACTGCTGATTACTGAAGTATTTTCTGAGTAGGTAGCAGCATTCCCCTTAAGTCAGAAGTGCTGTCTATTTTTCTGCCTGAGTCCAGTGAGGCTGCACTGCAGTATGTTTAAGGTCACCAATGTTTCCATTAGACTAATTTTTATAGTGGTGTAATTCTGGGGCAGTAACACCCGGGAAAGAACCATGCAGATTGAAACAGCTTCTTTTTTTTTGACAAAGTACCTCGGGAGCCCCTCGATTGCTTCCCCTCTTTATGGTACAGAGGAGAGCAAAGCTGCTGTGGGGCTGCACTGAAGGAAATCTGGCTGTGAAGGACGCTTCTCCATACCCTAATGATCTGCGCAGCCTTTCCCATCCCCTTCACAGAAAATCTCTATGGCTGACAGGCTGTGTGGAGAAGGTGAGAATGGCTTGATGGGAGAGGAACAGATAGGGAACACCCAGTGTCCCCTACTACACAGGCTAGAGTCCATATAATAACTGTGGTTAATGCTGCTTGGAGCGGCTTTAATTTTCCCCTGCTGCATTCTAGAACCACTGTGGTAGGGATTGAAGAGCTATGTCAGTGGCAGTACAACATGACATCTGCTGTGCTGTCATTGCTAAGAGACTTGGTTCTAGAAGGGGACAGGAGGGACCTAAAGCTACCTTGTGTCCATCCAGGGATTTGAGAGCAATCTCAGCCTTAACTCTTTTTACCTCCACCCCCTGCTTGTTTACTTGCCAGTTCCATGGCATAGAGGAGAGAAGGCAGTCAACATCATAAGCAGCCCTAGCTTTTGGAATGTTTTATTCCTCTCTGTGCATTCTTCTGCCAAAAAGAAACACATGGCCCTAAGTGATCAGCCAGTGACATGAATGGAAATAAAGAAATGTAAAAGCAGTTAAGTGGAACCTTCCTATAATAAGATACACTCTTAGAACTGCTGGAGCTTTCTCATTAATCTGAATCCAAGAATGACGTTTCACTTCAGGAAATGGATTTACTTAGATTTATTTTTAAAAAAAAATGCTAGAAGCAGCATTTATCTGTGTGTGCTAGGCACACCTGGCATAACTTTAAGTGTTTTAAATTTAAGATGACCCACCACAAATCTCCCTCCACCTTTACCATTACAGTTCTCCCCATAAACAAAGCAAATGCTGCATTGGTCCTGATTCAAATCTCATTAAAATCAATGGAAAAACTTAGATGGGTTTTGGATCAGGTACCATCTGAATTAGACAGGATATAAGGATTTACATTCCTGTGCTGCTTAGAGAAATAGTTTCAGAATGTAGAGTGGTCTAGTGTATATACTACTCCAGGCAGAAACTCCAACAGCAATAATAATCCTCTCCCTGTTTTCATTTTAAATGACAATGCTTAACTGCCACCAGCAAATTGAAAAAGATGAGGTCCTTCTTTCTTTAGAGACTTTCGGATGATTCTGTTGGCCAGTAACTTCTGACCATAATATTGTACCACTCATATTTAAGCAGTGAATAATTGGAACATTAGAATAGTGCTTGTGTAATTGCTTTCCATTAACTTTCTGTCTTCCTTCATTAAGAATGTCATCTCTTCAGTTTTTGGACTAATTACTGCATTGTCTTTGTTGCACAAAAATATTTTACTCTGTCTAATTTGAAGTTTCAATCTCTTGAGAATGGAGTTTGAGGTTATATAACTTTCAGAAACTTTTGAGTTTTCTTAGAATAAAAAAAAAGAGTTAGTTGTCGCCTACCAATGACTATATTGTCCTGAGGTCAGATAACTTAATTCCGTTATAATCTTTCTTCTGAATGGTAGAAAATGTGGCCTTTTAGCTCTTCCTTCCTATTATTAACTAATATTTTATTTATTTGATTTATAGTTGTTCCTAGAGACTTCTCCTCTGAGATCAGGGTTCCTTTGTTCTAAAGCATCCTTACAAACACTTACAGCCCCTGAGACAAAAAGCTTGCAATCTAAATAGGCAGACAAAAGGTGGGAGGGGAAACAGAGCAGTGAAGTGACATGACTCTAGTCATGAAGCAAGTTAGTGGCAGAGTTGGGAATAAATTATGTTCTTATGTCTTTTGATTCCCATTCCAATACCCTGTCCAGTGGACCACTCAGCCCTGTTTGAAAGGGTCTCCATTTTGTGCGCACTAAACCTAATTACACAGTTGCCTCATGCCGGTGTAGGGTTTTCACATGTACCTATTTGCCTAGATATACAGCAGGGACACTTTTCAAGTCTGGCTTTGAAATAGAAACTTCATAATATCTCCTGGGAGCTCTGATTGCAAACATTCGTTTATTTGGCTCCTTTCTAAAAGCCCAATAGAAAAGGAATAAAAAATTGCTTTTTGGCCACACTGCAATTTTTTAAACCAAAACTAAGTCATCTGGAAAATATAATAATAATTATGCTGATTCTGCTTCATTTTGTGTGTGTGTGTGAGAGAGCTATACTTTCAGTTCTTAAGTCATCCATAAAGTCATTGCAGTTTAGTAGAGTGATTAAAAAAAAAGTCTTCATGAAGTTTCCATTAGGGCTGGACAATAAAGAGAGGAGAAAGGGGAAATTTGTGATATTTTCAAAAACAGTTTTGTTTAGGGGTTTTATTAGTTTATTTCCAAGTTAGGAAAATAAAAATGTCAGAATTTTGGAACCTGAAGTATTTCTACCAGCTCTATAGCTTGTGCCAAAAAAAAAAAGGGGGGGGGAAGGGGGGGACTTCACAAAATGTTTCAAATTTCAAGATTAGCAAAATTTCAATCAATTCTAGTTTCCACATCATGTTTCTAACACAGACAGGGCCCGATTCTCCTCTCACTTGCTCTGAGGTGTGCCCATTGACTTCATCAGCAAAACCGAGAGCAGGATCTGGTCCAGAAACTCTAGCACACGAGTATGCTTCTGTTCATCTGTAGAAATAACATACCTATTTTGAATTGAATAACTTGGTTTTGTTGGTTCTCAGAAAAGAAATATATATTGGGATCTGAGGCTGCCATAGTTTTCCAGTCAAAAGTCCTGTTGTTGTCTATGGGAATTGTGTGTAGATGAAATGTATGACGTTTATGGCTCTACATGTGAATAGACACTATGATAGCATCATTATAACTAGTATCCCAGTGTTTTCTAGTGAATTCCTTGTAGAGGATCTTTGAAAGAAACATATTTTGGCTGCATGGAACTGGATAGGATGAAGAATGATGGTCCGGTGGATGGGCAGTGGGCTTGGATTTGGGAGACTTGGGTTCAAATCCCTGCTCTGCCACAGACATTCTGTGTGACCTTGGGCAGGTCAGTTAGTTTCACGTCTGTAAGGCTGGGATAATGCTACTTCCCTACCTCACAGGGGTGCTTTGAGGCTCTCAGATACTATTGTAATGGGGGCCATGTAAGAATAGTAGACAGAGAGATGCTGACTGTTGCATGTACTTAACTAGTTTTAATCACTGAGAAAGCTTTGTAGGGAGCACAAAGTATCATTAATGATACCACTTTGTTATTGTTGTTCGTGATCTCTTTGTTGTTGTTTGAGCCTAGATAGGTAAAATCTGCATCGAAAACTGCATGAAGTTCTGTGGAGTAAACATCACCTACAGGTTGCTGTCTCCCAATGCCAGCTGCTATGCTGTAGGGATACTGCAGGGCCGAGAGGACAAGTATGGAAGCCTCTATGTGAATGACTCCTCTGTGCTACTCAGACCTGAATGCAAAGAAATTCAATACACCATTGTAGCCTCAGACAAGCAGAGTAAGAAGCATGCCAAAACCCAGCTCACTATTACGCTGGAAGGAACAAGTAAGTACTTGAGGTGGAGGGGGGAGAAAGGTTGTGAAATGTCGATATAAACACTGTATTAGGAATTATGGATACTCACTGATATTACTCTTTAAAGTCTGTGACCAAATAAAGGAAGAAACAGGTTTTCTTCCAGACAGGAGGGAAGGCGGCTATCTCCCTGTCTCTAATGTCAATTAAGCATTGTGGAACCAAAACAATGGAAGCCCTATTAACACAATCAACAGGAGGATGGGAAGGCAAAGGATGAGAAGAACAGCAGGAGGTCGTCCTGACTTTGGGGACAAAACAATGAGTTTTAGGAAGCAAAAAGTTATTTTGACATCCATCACTTGGGGGTGGAGGAACGCAAAGGGAACAGCACCCTCTGATTCTGTGAGTGGTGGATCCTCCAGCCTGAGGGGCTGGGGATGCTGATAGCTTGTTGTAAGTGAGGAAGCCACTTAGGCAAAAGGCTGTAGCTTTCTTAAATTAAGTTTTAGTCACTAAAAGCATGTGCTTTGTGTTTTATTTGTTACCAGACTTGTCTCTGTTTCTCTTGCTTAGAATCACAAAAATCTATTTTTTTTGTTAATAAACTTATGCTTACTTTTCCTATAAGCTAGCTCTGTGCTGTTATACTACAGTAAAGGTGTGCTCCCTCAGTTGATCCAACAGGCTGGTGTGTGTTCTGTCTCTTTGGAGACAGCAGATTTGGTAATTTCTGGGAGTCAGAGGGACTCTGCAAAGGGAGACAACTCTGGGGAATTCGAGAATGGGGGTTCACTCATTGTTACCGGCAAGGCAAGGTTTAGACTGGCAGAGTACAGGAGTTTACTGCTGTGGCAGGGAGCTGTCACACAGCTTAAGCTCCAGCAAAGCTCTCTCTTGCTGAGGCAGACAGGTTAACACAGTGGCTTACAGTTCTGGACTCCCCGAGGAGAGTGTCACGACTTGTTATAGCTGGGTTTGTCTCTTTCAGTGTTAATTTTTAGGCAAGTCCCTTGTTAGGGCAGTTCATACACTGGTAAAATTAACAACAGAAATGAGCCTGAGCCACTGAGTTCAGATCAGATCCCAAAGTTTGGGTGTTTGGATTAATGGCTTTGGTTCAGACTCCTCTCTAATTAGCATTTCTAGAGGATATGTGAAGATAGATATTGTGTTAGGTATAAAAGGAGTTTCATCAAATGCAATTCCTTATATTCAGGGGTGAAAGTAACTTAAAGGACTTACTAGTACGCCAAGAGTCCTGAGCAGGGGTGTTGCCTCAACCGGAAGAGGCATGGCCTCAACCAGAAGAGGCGGGGCCTTTCAAGGTTTAAAGGCCCTGGGGCTCCGGCTGTGGCTTGGAGCCCCAGGGCCTTTAAATCACCCCAGAGCTACCAGCTGCAGAGGCCTCTGGGAGCTCAGGGGCGAATTAAAGGGCCCAGGCTCTGGCTGCTGTGGAGCTCCAGGCCCTTTAAATCACCGTGGGAGCCTGGCTGCTGGAGCTCTGGTGGCGCTTTAAAGGGCCTGGGGCTCCCTGCAGCGCCTGGAGCCCCGGTCCCTTTAAATCACTGCTGCGGAAGCCGGTCCGGTCCGGCACGGCATACTGGCCTGTACCGGTTTACTTTCACCTCTGCTTATATTATAAACCATGATTAACTTTGTAAGAATCTATTTATTGTGTGTGTTCTATACAGTGTATTTCATATACATGTATCCCTCTTCAGTTTTGTCATTCAAAGCACTTCCTTGTCAGACACACTTTTCTCCTTGTTCCTCCTCTAAATACTCATGCTGAACATGAGTTATAAAGATTTCGGCTTGTGCATAGAGTTGAACATGTGCTCTGACAAAGGGCAGTAAATTAGCCATTTAGCAGCCTTGTAATATTCAGTGTAGTGCATATGTGGCAATAGACATTGCAGTCCTTCACTCTCCTGGACTGAAGTTTAAAACAACAAAATGTTTGAAAATGCACACTGGAGGCACTGAAGTTATGTTAGATCAGAGGTGGGCAAACTATGGCCCTTGAGCTCCTGCTGGGAAGTGGAGTCTGAGGCTTTCCCCACTCTGGCGCTCCAGTGGCACATCCCTCCTCTGGCGCCTATGCGTAGGGGCAGCCAGGAGGCTCTGCACACTGCCCCTGCAGCTTCCATTGGCCGGGAACAGCAGCCAATGGGAGCTGCAGGCGCGGTGCCTGCAGACAGGGCAGCGGGCAGATCCGCCTGGCTTTGCCTCCGCATAGGAGCCGGAGCGGGGACATGCCTCTGTTTCTGGGAGCTGCTGGAGGTAAACACTGCCTGGAGCCTGCCTCCCTGAGCCCCTCCCATACTCCAACCCCCTGCCCCAGCCCTGATCCCCCTCCCGCCCACTGAACTCCTCGGTCCCAGCCCGGAACACTCTCTCCTGCACCCCCAACCCCTCATCTCCAGCCCCACCCCAGAGCCCGCACCCCTACCACCAATTTCGTGAGCATTCATGGTCTGCCATACAATTTCCATACCCAGATGTGGCCCTCAGGCCAAAAAATTTGCCCACCCCTGTGTTAGATGCTTCTCATTTTGTTATTCATACTTTAATCATTGTCAGGCTGCTTAAAGACAGGCAAGGGAACATTACAGAAACCGGACTAGAAAGCATGGTAGTACATGTGATCTATATTAGGGGTAATTTCTCTTCCATTTGTTTCTTTTTCTGTACTTTCCACTTATTTAATTTTGTATGGTAGCCTCAGAACATGTAACCCATGACTCTGCTGCACAAAGATGTCAGTGTGAATTCAAATGGGCTTGTTTATCAACAACAACCATTTATATTGTATCTATTTTTGCTGGTTTAGTCATTTTACCCAGCCTTTGTCTAGTACTTAATATGATACCACACTTGGTTCATTGTAGCAAAAGCGTCAGGGTTCAAACTTCACAGAAAAGGGAAGATCTGTGTAAGTAAAACCGTATAACTTCTCTCTGGATCACAAGAGCCGATTGGGACTATGCCTAACCATTTTACCAAACCATTAAGTACTCTCTAAGAGAATTGTCCGTGCAGAACAGATAACTCCCAGCAGTTGATTGCACCTATTCCTTTGAGTTATGTAATAACATGACCTCAGAAGTTAAGTTTTGGGGCAGATTGGGGAAATGGACACAGAGGATCAGTAGTGTTATTCCTCCCACCAGAGTTTTGTGCTAGTTGCAATCAGAACCTCTCTGTGCCACCTGCTGTATGCTGGCCAGTGTCGCACCAGCCCAAACACCAAGGTTCATGCCTTCATCAGCTGTTTTTTTCTGAATCCATTGTTTGTATTATAATTGGTATGTTAGTGCATCGTTCTGCCTTTCTGTAATTCCAAGCATTATGCCGGGCAATGCTACTGCCACCACCCCTTTGATACTGGGTCCCTTCAGTCTTTATTCTACATTTATTGAGGGATAAGTCCTCAAAGTTAACTGTGGTCTCTCATTTTTAATCTAGAAAAAGGAATTTCTCCTTTTTCAAGCCCAGCTGCCTTGCATGTGTATTCAGCTCTATCAATGCATCTAGTGACACGTCACACTCTCTTGCTTCCGTTCCATGCAGTTATTAAGAAAGAAGAGGACTGCCCTGAATCTTGCGCTGTTAATAAGCACCGTGCTGAATGTGAAGAGTGTGGTGGCGTAGGAGTGCTAACAGGAAAATGCCAGTGGAGACAGGGAAGTGGAAAAGGTACACACTTATGCTGCGTAATTGGCCAGATTGTCAGCTGATGTTAAATTGGCACAGCTCCATTGACTACAGTGTAATTGTGCTGATCTGTTCCAGCTGAAGAGCTATCCCAGGGTATTAAACTACCCAGAACCTATGGTATAAATAATACACAAATTAAACCTGCAGAAGGGAGGAGAGCAGAGTTAAGGGGAAGTGGTCATTAATTCAATCCCTGAGGCCTACCCATCACAGCACCTGCAGGTACCAAATTAGCAATCACTGGGAGTGTAGAAAAGAATATGGCCTCTGGGATGCAACGTAACCCCTTGCAATAATAAACTGAGTTTGGAACAGCTCAAGTTCTACAATATCCCACCAGCAGATACTGTCTGGTACAAGAGAGGTCTCAGTTGGAAATCGTTATCCAAAACTTGAGAATGTGTGCTCTGTAACACTTACAACACATTACTTATGTGACAAATGATGGTATTCTTAAGTATTCCATAGCAAACTTGATGCTTTACTCCTGCTCTTTCATAAGTATCACAATTTCTCTCCAACTATTTGTAAACCTTATGTTCAATCACAGGCTTGTGAAAAATACGTTTAAAGAGAGATCATCCATTTTTAAAAGCCAAACTTTGTACTCAGGATGTTTCACCTACCTTTGTTGCAAATGACACCTAAGATCACCATAGCTGAAACTGACGGCGCACAAAGGGCTGTCAAATGCACCAAGTAAATAAACTGAAAACCCAGTGAAACACACACTCTTTTTTATCGCTTTCAGTTATCATCATCTTGCATGTTAGTTGTAAAAACAGCAGGTAAAGAATTTGTAGACAGAAGTTTGATTATTAAAAAAAAAAAAAATGACTGTGTCCCCTGTGCCTCAATGTGTCAACATGCACCAGCAGAGTGCAATGAACTTCTCTTCAAAGCATTGTGGTATTTGGACTGTTGTGCGCTTGTATGTTCATAGGAATCACCACAAATTATTCTACCTGCACGCCAAGCATCAGGACTTGTCCAGATGGCACCTGTGACATTATAGAGAGCAAAGATCCGGCGGTGTGCCCCCAAGATTGCACAAGTATGGAGTGTTTTAACGTGAATATCAAATATAATATATACTGTAAAATAATAATTGGTATGTTAAAGCTGTGTTTGGTCCAAGTTCTGCTTTCTTGTTTCAAGATCAGAGCCGAACTAGGTATTTTTGCGCCTGAGGCAAGAATATAAAATTGCGCCCTCCCCAGGGCCGGCAATTCGGCGGTGGGTCCCTCAGTCCCTCTCAGAGGGAAGGGCCTGCCGCTGAATTGCTGCTGAAAAATGAATGAAGGGGCGGTGGTAGAGCCTGTGATTTTGGGGGGTCAACTCATGATTTTTGACTGCTTGGGCTGGTAATGTTGCTTACAAGATGGTCTTTGGTTCCAGTCCAGTTCCAATCCCGAGAGGGACTCACAGGTTAAGAGAGGAGGGAGGTGCTGGATATCAGCAGTGGCCACTAGGGATCAGCATGTGTCCTGAGAATGCTGGGAGTTCAGGTTTGCAGGGCAGGATCAGGGGTGGCAGGTTTGTAGAAATTTTGGTGGTGCCCAGAACCCCGCCCCCTCCCCCGTCCAAGGCTCGGGGCGGGAGTTTGGGTGAGGGAGGAAGTCTGGGGTGCAGGCCCTAGGTTGGGGC